CGTTGCCATGGCAACCTCCTGCGCTCCGCGAGCCGACCAGAGAAAACATAACATTCAGTCCGTTACGATATTAGGTTTACAGGCTTATTTTTGCGCTCCCTGAACACAGCGGTGATAGTTAATTTTAAACTTGCTGGTCTTGGCGTCCTGGCGGTGTTCAATTTGTCACCTAATGTCGAGATCGACTCAAAACCTTCTACATTCGACGTATTGCAGCCCTACTCTAGCAAAGCACGAACAGTTCAGAAACAATATGAAATGGGAAAAAAGTTATTTATTAACTGATTAAGTCGTGTTTTAGATTGTTCTTGAAAAACTAATCAGTCACGGCTAATTAGTGGGTTCACTCACTAATTAGCACAGTGAACCCGTTAATTTTTTTACAGCAGTCAGCTGCTCCCCTCTCTTGCAGGTACTGCGTACCCCTGCTAAATCTTTTAGGGGTACGCAGTACCCTGCAGTACCCCCTTACTTTCACCCGTGATTATGAGCCTGTCATTTAGGAATAAATCTGCTCTGCTAGTGAAATGCTCAGAGCAAGAGATGCTTGCAGCCTGGCTTTAAAAAAAAAAAAAAAAAAAAACTTTTTTTAATTTTATTTTTTTTCCTAGAAACGTAAACAAGCAACGCTTAGCCTGGCGGCAGGGCTAGTAAAGCATGGCGGGCCGCCAGGCTTATAATACACTGGGGGAAACCCTGCACTTCTATTCTGCCTTTTCTCGCTCTGTGTGTCTGCATTACGCACAGACCCGTTGCCATGGCAACCGACAAACAACAGCTCATCGAGCAGATAGAGCAGAGATTACTGATCAGGAGAATCGACACCAAAAAAAATAATAAAAAATTTCCACACAAAAAAGTATCAAAAACACCAAAATACAACATTCAGTTTGTTACATTTTATTGTCAGGCTTGATGTCTATATTGTCATTATTCATAAGTTTTCGCCTGACCACTGCAGGTGGTTGATTAGCTGATTTACTGATGACTTGGTGGGCGGGTTGTCTTAGTTTAGTGCTAACGGAACCAAAACACACCGAACTCCGCAGCATATGTTAAGGTTAAACAAAGTTAATGCTAGGCTAGCAACAGTTAGGCTATTATAAATGACCCACTGCTCACTTGTTCAATGTTTTCTTTAAATTAAAACTTTTTCCTCACCTGTTAAATCTGAAGCCCTTGTTATCTATGGCTGTCATAGCGTGGAATTAACCGCTACACATTGCTACACTTTTTTTCGGATTCTTTGAGTGATTGTAGTATTTTCCTGATCACCGATATTCCTGACTCAATGGACAGCAATGGCGATAAGTCACGTAATGTCCAGTCCAGTAATATATCGAGAAGGACCTCACTGCAGCAAACAGAAAGGGGCGGGGACAGACCACTGTCAGTCTCTTACTTTATTTGGAAATGGGACCATAGCACTCCGGAAGTGAAGGGGGAGCTATTTCCTATATTATCCGCGGTCTCCCGTTTGATACCTTTTTAACCTTGACACTTAACAACTGAAGGAATCACTCTAAGCCTGATGACCTAATCACTCTCCCGGCGAAGCAAGCAGTGAGTGAGCAAGGTGACAGTTGGATGTTACGATACTTGCGGATGAATATCAATTTTTTTCTAGGAAAGAAAATATCGATATATATCGCAAAATCGATATTATTGCACAGCCCTATTTACAATCATGCACTACTTTGTTGATTTATCATTTGAATCCCATTCAGATATTGTATTACAAGTAGTGATAACATAACAATATGAGGGAAAGTCTTTAAAGCCTCTTGCAAAGCGCTGTCACAGTGATCTGAAGTGGAATACACTGATGGAGGAGAAGAACTTCAGCCCCAGCAACCATCAGCTTATCTCTGTCTGCTCTGTTCACAGACACTAATGGCTCAGACAACTCCATTCCCATGGCTTATCTGACCCTGGATCACCAGCTGCAGGTACATCATCCTCTCTGCTGCCAGGTCTATGCTAGCTGTGTTTAATTAGCTGTAGTTTATAGCAGCTTTCAGTTTCTGCCTCCATTACTCCTGACAACATATTCTGTCTTCCAGCCTCTTGCTCCCTGTCCGAACTCCAAAGAGTCCATGGCGGTGTTTGAGCAGCACTGCAAAATGGCCCAAGAATATCTGAAAGTCCAAACTGAGATCGCCCTGCTGATTCAGCGGAAGTAAGTGTTGCTGCTGCAGCTCTGGCTGTTCATGGCAAGCTGTCAACATCTGTTCTATCAGAGAATACATCACTGAAGGAAGTAAATAGAAATGATAACTTCATCTTCCTTCTATGGGCATGTGTGGAAGTGTGTGAGTTAGTATTACTTGCATAATACATCTACTGATGTCTCTGTTGAGCAACAACAACTTCTCCTTTAACAACTTGCTTCTCTCTGAACTGAACTGACCAGGTTCATTGCAGCGTTGCACCTTGAAACGGCGCTCAAATAAAAAGAAACTCTTTAAACGTGTTGTTTTAACAGACTAAACATTGTTACACTGTGCTTACACTGAACAGTTAAAACCTTAGTTTCCCTAGTAACAGCAGTATGTTGGTGATTAAAAAGTTATCAATTCAAGATGCATCAAAATGTTCACTTTTAGTAGATGTTTTGTATTCATGGTTTAACTTCAGAAATGATGAAAAGTTTATCCAGGTGATAAACCATATATCACCTGTTGTGCATGTTAGGATGCTGTGGGACATCACCAGGGTTTTGTTTTGTAGTCAACAAGTGTGGAAAAAATCTGGAACTTAACTGAAGAAGATTGCAAGTCTAAATTAAAGCTACAAGCAGCCTCGAACAGCAATCGCATCTCAGCGCCGCTCCGGCCTATTGGCCACCGCAGGTGTTCCCGCACTGCACACGCTCTCGCACAGTTCCCCCACCCGTCCGCCAGATGATACTAATCGACGCTTTCAGCAGCACTCCCCAACGAAGCACCCAAAATCTGGTTCAGATCGGCCAATGTAGAGAGGAGATGTAGCTGGCTGATGAACTTAGGGGGCGGAGTGGAGTCAAATTACAATGTAATGCAATGTAGTGCTATTGGGCTTGTTATGATTCACAAGAGTCAATCATAACAAGTTTGGTGGAAATTGGATGATGCATGTGTGATTTACAGACGATCGTATGCAAACGGTGAAGATATTATATTAATTCTCGCACAACTAGAACCGCAAAAGATAAAGTCCCTCACAAAACACCATACCTTTTAATGTTCTTAAGGAAGTAGAACTAATTAAATGACATAAACAAGACCTGAAAGTGGTTGCAGTTTCACTTGTTGGCCAACCTGTTGAAACTATGGCAAATTTTAAATACCTTGGATCATTCCAGGACAGTCAGCTCAATTTTGCTGAAAACACTGGCTACATTTACCTACAGTTACCTAACAAGTGCAACTCGTGCAAAACTTCTAGTTAGTTAGAGGTAACATTAACTAACATTACCTCTAGTTAAGTAATGTTAACATTTTAACAATGAGTTAAAATGTTAAAACCTAAAAATTTAACTTAAGTTTTGAGTCATCTCAAGTTTTAACTGTTGAGTTCTTTAGCTTTTCATCTCCTCAGCTGGTTTGGTCACATGAGCTGCAGACTAACAGACAATCTTTTAAGAATACTTTGAAGAGCAGGAAAAATAGTAGGTAAATAGTGGTGAAACCAAAAACAACTCTGTCTAAACTGTTTAGAGTATCCACCCTCTTTTTTTGTCAGTTTGACGAAAAAAAATTTGGTTCAGATCGGCCAATGTACGTGCCCGGAACACCTCACCAGGGAGGCGTCCAGGAGGCATCCTTACCAGATGCCTGAGCCACCTCAGCTGGCTCCTCTCGACGTGGAGGAGCAGCGGCTCTACTCTGAGTCCCTCCCGGATGACCAAGCTTCTCATCTCTAAGGGAGAGCCCAGCCACCCTGCGGAGGAAACCCATTTCGGCCGCTCGTATCCGTGATCTCGTTCTTTCGGTCATGACCCAAAGCTCATGACCATAGATGAGGGTGGGAACGTAGATCGACCGGTAAATCGAGAGCTTCGCTTTTTGACTCAGCTCTCTCTTCACCACGACAGATCGGTACAGCGCCCGCTTCACGGCAGACACTGCCCCAATCCGCCTGTCGATCTCCCGCTCCCTTCTTCCCCCATTCGTGAACAAGATCCCCAGATACTTAAACTCCTCCACTTGAGGCAGGACGATCCCCCTGACCCGGAGAAGGCACTCTACCCTTTTCCGGCTCAAGACAATGGCCTCGGATTTGGAGGCACTGAGCCTCATCCTGGCCGCTTCACACTCGGCCGCGAACCGCTCCAGCGAGAGCTGCAGAAGCCAACAGGACCACATCATCAGCAAAAAGCAGAGATGCGATCCTAAGGCCACCAAAACGGATCCCCTCAACACCTCGGCTGCGCCTAGAAATTCTGTCCATGAAAGTAATGAACAGAATCGGTGACAAAGGGCAGCCTTGGCGGAGTCCAACTCTCACCGGAAACGGTGAGACACTCAAACCCCTCCACCACGATAAGGTGGCAGCCCAAGGAGGAGAACCATTCTAAGGTAAAAACAATAAACAGCTTCCAGTCAAGGGGGTGTGGGGGAGACACAGCTGACTCTGAGCGGGCAATGTCCCCCGATGCCCGCCCATGCCACCGGGCCTGTCAGTACCACTGCCTTTGAGCCAGACCTGGCCTATGTGCTGCAGTCCAGATCTTAGTATCTCCCATCACTTTAATGTAGACAAGTCATTTGTCTGTGTAAAATTGACGTATTTTAAGGTCCACTGAAAAATTGCAACAGAAACGGCTCAATGGCGCCACCAAGCAACTTTCAAAGGACCCTTTCCTATTCACTTACTTTATCGTAGGGATTTGAAATTTGGTACACTTGTAGAGCTCCCCAAGACACTCAGAATTTACAATTAATGTCATAGTGCAAGTATCACAGAAAGTCGGCCATTTTTGATAGAAGTTCCGATTTTGGCCGTTTGCAGGGTTCGCATTTGATCAAACTCCTCCTAGGGATTTCGATCGATCGGCTTCAAACTCGGTCAGATCGTTCATAAGGCATGTCCGATCCAAAGTTATCACAGTTTTGCGGTTTTTTTTTTCTAAGTGTAGTTACCTGGGGTCAAAGTTCACCTGTTCACCATGAAACACAAAACTGTTATAACTTTTACACAAAACCTCACAGAGGCACCACACTTTCAGTGATTGGTCATCATCGGCTACCCTACAATATCAAATGGTCAAATGATGACATCACTCAAGCCACGCCCCCTGAGAACAGGAAGTGTCATGTTTTACTCTGAAAGGTCCCTTTCTGACCCCTTTGACCTAATCAACATGAAACTGTGTCCACAGACAGAAAACATGTTGGTGTGTCATGGATTCCAACCCTGTTTGGTTTTGATGGAGCAGGTGGGCGTGGCGGCATGGCGAAGTGACCTGTAACGCCGTGTCCATACGTTTGGCTCTAGATTCCACAATTTTGAGCCCAGTTGCACCAAACTTGACATGACTGATCCTGGTGGGATGCCTGACGATCCTATGTCGTCATAGTCTGACGTCATCTAAGCCCCGCCCCCTCAGAACAGGAAGTGCTTTTTTTTCCTTAGAACGCTCCATCTATGGCTCTCTCGACCTAATCAAGATGATTCTGTGTTGGATGACAGATAACATGTTGGTCTCACTTGCTTTAAAGCGCCAAGAGTCTTCTGTAGAGGGCGTGGCCGTGGCAGCGCGGCGAAGCCATACGTTTGGCTCTAGATTCCACATCGTTCAGCCCAGCTGCACCAAACTCACTAGGATGCATCCTTATTCATCCCCGAACAGGAATCCATAACAGTCGTTGATGGGCGTGGCCTAATTTCTCTACAGCGCCCCCTAGAATTTTTTAAATAATCAGCCCCAAGCCATGCTTTAACCTAGAATTATGAAACTTGGTACACATGTGTATAATGTCAGGACCTACAAAAAAGTCTCTTGGAGCCATGGTGCAAACCCAACAGGAAGTCGGCCATTTTGGATCAAATGCCGCCATTTACTGTTTTTCATAGATGTCGCATCTGATCTAACTCCTCCTACAGCTTTTGAGATACAGACTTCAAACTCACTTAGCACAGAGTTGAGACATTAAAGATGAAAAGTTATCGTAGGAATTTTTCTATGTCAAAGCATGTGGGCGTGGCTAAGTCCCAAACTTTGACTATTCGCCATGAAACATGAATGTGAAATAACTTCCAAATGCCAGGTCAGAGCTGCATCAGACTTTCTATGTCTCATTATAGATCACATTTAGGTGGTCGATTGATGACATCACCTTAGCCCCGCCCACTTCCGACAGGAAGTCACCTGTTTTTTCTACTGTATGTCTTACTTTTACTCTCTAATTCATAACGGTTTAATCCTGTGCAGACTGACATAAAATAACATGATGATGAACTCTGTCAATGCCTACTGACCCGTGGGGGCGTGGCAAAATGGCTGTCCCTCGCCATATGCATACGATCGTCTCTTATTCACAGACGCATCATCCGATTTGCACCAGACTTTTTATGAGTGACACTTGTGAACCTCTAAGGAGCCCAATAGAGTTTAATTGTAATTTGACTCCACTGCGCCCCCTAGGTTAATCAAACAGCTGTATCTCCTCTCTACATGGCCCAATCTGCTCCAGATTTTTGGTGCATCACCAGGGAGCGCTGCTGAAGGCATCAAAGCGGATCGCCTGGTGGACGGGTGCGCGAGCGTCAGCGGTGGCTGGCGGGAGGCGGTGCTGGAACCCCTGCAGTGGCTATAGGCCTGAGCGGCGCTTGGCTGCGAGGGCCGCTTGAGGCTCCATGGAGCTTTAATTAACATTTATAGTTACTAATATGTCATATTTCAAATGAGCTCTGCACTTGTTGATATAACTATTACTTGTCATTTCTCTGTTATTTTATTTAAAAATTGTGTAAATATTGAACTGCCATGGTGAGATATTTTTTTATGTTTCAAATGTAATTTTCACTCAAGAGTATAATTACTTAGAAATTAGAAAAGTTAGTGTTAAAAAATTGAAGTTAAGTAAATATTCAATTGCATATGATATGCATGTTTCAAATGAACCAAAAGACATGGTTAAGATCGCTGAAATTAAAATAAAGCAAATGTGAAACACAGAATGGCTTGCTGAAATTTGTTTACATATATTGCTGTTCTATGTAAAGGACGTCCGCCAAGGTCGGCCCCCCTACATTTCTAGTACACCAAATCTGGCCCCCTTTGCAAAAAGTTTGGACACCCCTGTTCTAGGGGGTGCTGTATAGAAATTAAGCCACGCCCACCAAAATTTGTTATAGATTCCTGTCGGCAGGTGGGTAAGGATTCATCATAGGGAGTTTGGTGCAGCTCGGCTCAAAACTGGAATTCATAGCCAAATGTATTACAACGGCATTACAGGTCAATTCACCACGCCGCTATGCCCACCTACTCCATCGAAACTGGTCAGGGTTGGAATCCACAACACACCAACATGTCTTCTGTCTCTGGACACAGTTTCATATTGATTAGGTCAAAGGGGTCAGAGACCGTTCACAGTAAAACATGACACTTCCTGTTCTCAGGGGGCGTGGCCTAAGTGATGTCATCATTTGACCATTGGCTATTGTAGGTCACCTGATGATGATCAATCACTGAAAGTTCGGTGCATCTGAGTTTTTGTGTAGGAGACATAACAGTTTCGTGTTTCATGGCGAGTAGGCGAACTTTGACCCCTGGTACCGCCCCTTCAGCATGCATAAAAACTCACCATTTTGATAACTTTTAATCGGCTATTGACCAAGTTTGAAGCCGATCAGTCGAAATCCCTAGGAGGAGTTCGATCAAATGTGAAGGCTGTAAACGGCCAAAATGGGTCAAAATTGGAACTTCAATCCAAAATGGCTGACTTCCTGGCTGACTTCCTGTTTGACAGTAATTGTATTTTCTGTGCGTCTTAGGGAGCTGTACAAGTGTACCAAATTTCATGTTTCTATGATAAACTAAGGTCAATGCCGAGGGCATTTTGAAAGTTGCTAGATGACGCTATTGAGCCGATTCTCGTGCGATTTTTGCGACAACCTTAAAATACGTAAATTTTTCGCAGTCTTGACGAGTCCGCCAAGTTTGGTGAGTTTTTGAATATGATAAAGCTCCCAAAAAGCCAATTCATTTGACAGAAGCATAATAATAATTTACAAAACAATTACAATAGGCCTTCGCAGCGCTTAGCTGCTCGGGCCTAATTAATACGGAAAATATGGTTTGTTAAAATTGTGACTTCCAGACTTGATTTTCTTTTCATTAAGTAAAAGATAAGGATTGGCATTTCAGTAAATTAAGTTTCCTGTCTTAGGTTTACCACATCAGATCTGTAGGTTTTGTGTACCCTGGTCTCAAAATGTAAACCATTTCTTTGGCTTCTAGATCCTCTCAAACCTAGACTTGGTCTGATTCAATGTTAGAAGCATTCAAACTGTCACTTTGTGGAATTTTCACAAACCAAACAGAGATGTAACAGATATCAGCAGTTAAACAATGACTATACAAGTGTAAAGTATAAAGATCATATAAAGATCTTATTTAATTTAAAGACCAACTTTACTTACATTGTGAAATCTGATCCAGGTTTGTCCACAGGTCTGCTGAACTGTTGAGTTGCTTCCAGATAAACCCCATCAGGTTACTGGACTTAAACTGTTTCATGGTTTTATGGAATGGCAGCACAGCCTGGAAATGGTTTGGAATGCATTACTTCAAGTGTATGTTTAAAATGACCTGTGTGTGCAGGACGGAGCTGATCGCTGAACTGGACCAAGACGAGAAGGACCAGCAGAACACATCCCGTCTGGTCCAGGAACACAAGAAGCTGCTGGAAGAGAACAAGAGTCTGTCCACCTACTACCAGAAGTGCAAGAAGCAGCTGGAGCTGATCCGGGTGCAGCAGCAGAAGAGACAGGGCACATCATGAGGACACTACCCAGCATCGTCTCTGCTTCACTGCATCATACACACACACACACACACACACACACACACATGTCCCCATCCAGCATGTCCTGCATGTTGCATCATAGACTCTATAAGAAGACAAACAGCTGCAGCATCTTCTGTGACCACAGGGCGGGAGAGTGACTGACTGACTGACTGACTGACTGACTGACTGACTGACAAGCAGCTGCTGCAGGACGGACAGGCTGAGGCCACAGCAGTGAGAGCTTGTGTGGGTTTTTTGCGTTTGCACTCAGGACTCCAGGCTGCCTTGTGATTGTGTGTTTGGATCATCATGACACTCCTCAGAATGTGAAACTGGGATGGAGTTCATTTAGCTAACCGTCTGCAGAACAACCAGAAGCTACCAGGGGGTTTGAAATGTGCCCTGGTGTGTGCATGGGATCCTGCTTATGCAAAACACACCTGGTCTCCTGGAACCGAACAGAATCTCTTCAACTTTTCCCCGTTCTCCTCCTGGACCCTTCCTCCTGGTCACGCCTCACATCAGCAGCAGGAGGTCTGGCTGCTGCAGCTCCTACATCTCCTGCAGCTTCTGGAGCCAACACTAAGCTGTGGATTCCCTGATTGTTTGACCTCAGTATTGTTGTGTGTGTAATGTTTTTGTATTTTGTATCCAGCAGTGGATTTGGCGAATTGGTTCTGTGGTATCTTCCCGTTGGAGCAGATCAGAACCGGTCTGGGAAGGCCCTTGCTGTCCAGGCTGTGTTTGAGTGCAGTCTGCTTGTAGTTCACATGTTGCCTTAGAGGTTGCCTGCATTTAAGTGCTTGTTTTATGGGACAGCTATTACAGAGTAAAAAAGGAGCAGATTTTAACGTTAAGGCTGAGGTGGGAATGTTTTCTGGTGAGGAAGTAGAGGAATGTGTGAATCTGCTTCCTAAGAGCTTTACAGGAACACTTGATGTACTTTATGCCTCACATCCTCCAGATATGTTTGCACAGTCACTGATTTTACTCTGGTTACTCTGACATTTTATTTCCTTTTTTAGTAAGTGTTTTTAAAGTGGCCAGGCCCCTCCTGAGGTAGATTCATCCTACATGTAACCTGCGGGTGTTTCCTACTTCCTGTGAAAAGGAGATCTAGAAGGCATTCTACAATAAACTGAATGGTGAACAGATATGTATCAGTGCAGTGATTCAGTGTTACTGATTGTTTTAAGACGTTCTGTTTCAGTCAAGGAACTGTTCGGCTCAGAGATGTTCAGAAAGCTGAACATCTGTGTTCAAACAGCTCAAATAAAGTAACTAGCAGGAAAAAAATCTAGATCCTTCATGTTCCAACATGTCATCATGTTCCAAACTAAAACTTTACTGTCAGTTCTGATCAGCCAACACAGAGTAACCATGGGAGAAACATGACTCATTGTTCTCCAAGACTTTAAAGTATAAGACGGTGAATAATAAAATAACATGTTGACGGTGCCCCTTTTACACCCAAAGATGTGTGGATAGTTAGTGGCCTTCAGTTTTCTTGTAGCTTTGACTGGAACGTTGTACCCGGGCTGTGCTGCTCTGCTGGAAGGTGAACCAGCTTCAGCTTTCATCAGTTTTTATTTGACCCTGTTCATCTTCAAATCATCTGACCAGCTGATCTGTTCCTGAGGACAAGCATCCCCACAGCATACTGCTGCCACCTCTGAGGGCATGGTGCGGTGAGGATGATGCACGCTGCTGCTTTTGGATGTAAGCTAAAAAATTTGGCATCTTCTTGCACATTTAAGGTTTGCACATGTTGCAAACCTGAAACAATGTTGTGCTTTTCTTCCATGAAGGTCAGATTTGTGGAGGTGACAGTGGATGGTGGTCCTGTTGGGGGATCGTGCTGACGGATGAACATGCTCTTCACCTCAGTCTGCACACAGTCTGCATTAGGCCTCATCCCAGCCACAAATCCAGCTTTTATGTTACAGTTACATAAAAAGCACCTGTGGATATTCTCAGGCACTGCTGCCTTTCAGGAACAGTGCAGGATCCTGGATTCAGATCCCAGCCTGGGGTCTGCCTCTGCATGGAGATTGCAGATTCTACCAGTTTACATTCTGCAACATCATATTTAATACCACTGCTTATTTTCCACCTGTATTTATTGGAATTAAAATGAGCTTTTTTTGTTTTTTGTACTCGTTGGCCTTTAAAGGGTTAATGACTCTGGATCCTGATCGACTACTCTTGTCTTAACGTAACCCAACCCATGAACTATTGCTCATTTATTTACCGAATACTTCCAGATGGGTGTAAATGGATTGCAGTTTGTGAGGCATTGTGGAAACATCTCTGGCTGTAATTGGAAAGCAGATGCAGGAGTTCTGCAGGAAGCAGCATCTCTGCTGTTAATGGTTTACAATGTGGAGCACGAGACAGAGGAAAACCTTGTATGCAGTGATATTAATGTTTGCATAGAGATTATGGTAATAATGGTAATGATCTCTGTGTATTTTTTTGTACACTGGGTTACAAAAATATTTTTTGGAAGTTACCCATATTTTTCAACTGAATTAGGATTATTTTGCACTGCTAGATCCAAAAATTATCCATTTTTCTCAATCAGGTTTTTCTCATTTGATTTGGAGAAATCTGATATTCTGACTAAATTAGTGACATTTTGTGACATCAGTTAATTTCCTTTAATATTTCTCATCCAAAAATGGTTTTAGGAGGGAAAAAAAAGTTTAACAAAATGTATTAATTAATTGTTACAAACTTGGATTTCTGTAAATTGAATAATAAACACTAATACGTGTAAGTACATGTAAATTGAACATTTCGTCTTCATTGTGCAAAATTCTCCGTCTCTTTTCTGTCCTGATGGAATCTCTACTCCTGCTCATCATTGATATGGAGCTAATAGCGAAATTTCAAGCTGGAAGACTCCGCCCCCTCCTTTCGCCCACCTGCTTCATGCTCATCTCCGACATCAGCGCTGGACCTCACCCGGCGCGTCCAATCATCAATCAAGCTCTGCATAAAAGAATCCACAAACAAGCAGTCAGCCGGTTCCCAGCTGCGTTCAATTCGTTCATCTGCACGCCACAGCATCGTGATTCCCCGTCCTTCTACCTCTCATCCTGCTCATTAAAGCCGTTGGCCCCTTCTTTTTCCCCTTAGACTCTCCTCGGATGCAAGAGATTTTTCTCCAGGCCCCAGCCTCGATCATTTCAAGCAGCTTCTCCCGCCTATTTCTCACCTGTCTGGGGTTTCACTTACTCCATGATCCACCTCCGAAAAACATAAAAACATAAGTTTGTTTGTTTACTTTGACCCCTTTGGCCCGTGATGCACGACGCATTACCTCCCGCACAGTCGTGAGACAAGGTAGCTAACTGCGGAGCTCTACGTCGAGGGAACAGCCCGTTTAAAGATGCCACGTAAAGAAAAACGACAGAATCAAAAGGGAGGATCTGATGGGAGCAGCAAAAAGCCATCTTCCTTCGCCCGCCAAGCTTCTCTCACTTCTGCATGCCGTCATGGTCAGCACCTTTCCGGATTTTACTCCAACATTACGAAACGCATTTCAATTAGCCTACCCTCTCCCGAACTCGTAGGCCACTCAGGCTGCGCCCAAAATGCTTAATGCTTTTAACTGAATGATGAATAAATTGAATCGTCGTGTTTGGGGTGGCGCCTTTAAACGCAATACGAGCTCTAAGATTCTCTCACTGGGTTTACTCCCGTGCGACGGCAAAAGAGACCTGCTGCGGCTGTACGAGCTGCACAGGTGTGTGTTCGAATTATGGCAGCAACCAGCAATACGCTAGAGCTTTGCAGTTTTTCCCCAATAACTGACTGAGTTGAGCAATGCTGTTGGATGCAGGTAATGTTAAATAAATGATGAAAAGATTATACAAATGGAGCACCTTAAGCTTGTCGACTAGTAGCCTGTAGCCCGCTGATATGTTCAAAAGTGTGTAGGACTCTCGATATTGAGTATTTTGGAAAAGGTGCTCATATGAGTAGTTTTACTGCACTGTACCTTTTCATTTTCTTAAGTAATATGTGTTGGTTCATTTCGCCCCCAATAAGCCGATGCCCTCCATGTTAATTTTGTCTGGAGCCGGGGCAGCGTAGTATGCGCACTTGGCTACAGAGAGCCGTGCAGCCTATTGTCTCGGGTTGTCTCGGTTACAGCATTTATCTCTGCTCCAACATCGGCTAACTCGTAGTCAATCGGCATACTAGGTTGTCTTTGACTGTGTGATAATACAAGTCATATTACCAATTGACTCGTGCACGAGAAACATATTAATCATCCAGTAATTAAAAGTTTTGCCTCAGTTGTGAAGGCGTCACACACTGTACAGTTGCGCTGTCGGAACGTGAAGTTGACTAATAATCCCTCCATGTCAAATCTCGGTACAATCATTTCAGAGCTTTATCAATTAAACAAGCCATGAATTCTCACATCATCCATTATCTTCTCACATCAAATTTTGTTCAGTGTCCTATTCAGTACCCATCAGAGGCAACCCTAAATAGAAAGTAGTTTAGCTGCAAATTTTAACATTGTTTTCGTGTTTGACTTGTAGGAATTTCTTCCAGCTTTATACTGCATAGAGGCTAATTGCTGCTTCATCCCGGATGTGCATTACAAAGCAAATTAGAAGGCCTACATGGTCAAGCAGTTGCTATTTTTCTGGGGTTTAACTAGTATTCCCCCGTCTTAGCTCAAGTTTAAGGCTTCTCTAAGTTGTCCTTCTAGGTAATTCTGGTTCTCGGAAGCTTTACTTGCATCCCCGTGGACAAGCAAACTGTCCCGTATTCCGATATTTTAAGCTCATGGCCCATGTGGTGGTTCCAAATTTCATCTCTTGTACAAAATCGTCAGCAATCTGCATACCATTATTTCCTTGGCCATCCTTCCCTTCTTGGTTGATGCCGTTATCTCCCATCTTACCCTTTCTACTTCAGCAGTCGGGCATGGCCCCTTTTATTGTCTTCTATCGCCGTCATTTAATTTCAGCATACCTGCTCGTTACAGATCTGGTCATTTTAATACTATTGCAGATAAGCTGAGTCTCTCTGCCTGTGCTCTGTCCAGTCCAGCTATTAGACAAGTCAACCATATCGAAGCTTAATCTCATCCTGCCTGTATCTTATTCCATATTTCCTCAGTTTTTCATCCCCATTTTGAGTCTCAGCTTTTTCTTCATGCTCATCGTAGTTCCAAGCCCTACATGCATGCAATCTTGGAAAAAAAAAAAAAAAAATTATAAATCATTCAGCTTTAGACTATGTTCACTGGTCTTCAAGGTATTCTCTTGGCCGTACGCTGATATCTTTGTCCGTTTTAAACATTCCCTTCACATTATTATGAATCTCTTCTCCGCCCGCTGTTCCCCCAGTGCCAGACGAGCACTGTGCAATTCTCTGGTGGTGGTTGGTCAACCTCATGCAAAGCGCATGTTCTTATCCTGTCTATGTTATGCATATCTTTCCCCTTTGTCCTTCACACCCTTATATTCAGGTTTCATTCCAGACTGTAACCCCTCAGCTGGCCTTCATCCACCAGCCTGGTGCCGTGCCATCCCAGTAGTACCTCAGCTGGCTCATATCCCAGCATTTCTCTCTTTCTATCCAGCGAGGCTCCTCTCCAACCTGCACCTATCCTTCAGCCTTTCTCCAGGCTATTCTGTATTCCCTCAGCGGACCCGTACCCACCAGCCCGACTTCATGCCATCCCAGTAGCCCCTCAGCTGGCTCACACTCCAGCTGTTCTCTCTTTCTATCCAGCGAGGCTCCTCTCCAGCCTGCACTTATCCTTCAGCCTTTCTTCAGGCTATTCTGTATCCCTTCTGCTCTTCCTCTCCACCTGCCTGGCTCCACGCCATTACAATAACCGCTAAGCTGTCCTGCATCCTCCTGCCCGGTACCATTCTAGCTGCTTATCCCTCAGCTGGCCCCTACTCACCAGCCTGGCGTCTTGCTGTTATGGTATCTCACTGCTGGCCTTCTTCCACCAGCTAAGTTTCCACGTGTCATCTGTCACCTCAGATCAATTCCTCCTATAAGCGTCTCACCTTTTCTTGTGAACAGCATCCCTATCGGCTGACCACTTTTATCCTATGCCTTTTCTTTCCTCTCAGCATTCTCCTCCTCCTGTCCCTCAAGTCAACTCACAGGTTT